TTTTTTATTATTTATTTACCACAAGTAAAGGTCAGGAATTGTTATCTTTCTTTTAATTTTTTTTTTTTTTTTTTACTGTTTCACTTTATTTTTGCTGTGTATGGGCTCCATGTGAGTGACGTAGGTGCTTATGTAGGTAGGTTCTGACTTATGGCAAAAATCGCATTACGTCACGTCGTATGAACAGATCTCTGACGTAACCCGAGGACCTACTGAAGAGGTTTCTTTTTTGTTTGCTTTTTAAATTTATGGACAAAATTATTACCAAGTATTGATTCTTTTCAAGGCACTGTGCTAGGTGCTAAGAATCAGTCTTGGAGTGGGGGAGCAAAACTGAACCTGTGAGGAGGATTAATATGGGTGGTCAAACTACTATTTTGTTATGGAGGATGGTTTCAATAGCATCTTTTGAAAAAGAAGTTCAATATCACTTTTTTTTAAGGTAGTAAAGGCACAACGCCTTCATATCATGCCTATTGTATATATACATTTTTCAAATTCAGACTGGTGCTGCCACTGTGGAAAACATTATGGAGCGTCCTCAAAAAATTAAATATTGAACTGCCTTTTGACCACTTCTGGGAATACATCCTAAGAAACCTGAAACACCAATCAAAAAGAATATATGCACCCCTATGTTCAAAGTGGTGTTATTTACAATAACCAAGAACTGGAAACAATCCAAGTGCCCATCAGTAGATGAATGGATAAAAAAGCTGTGGTACATTTACACAATGGAATACTATGCTGCTGTAGAAAAGAAGGATCTCTTACCCTATGAGACAGCATAGAGGAACCTGGAGAGTGTTATCCTAAGCAAAATAAGCCAGACAGAGAAAGACAAATACCATATAATCTCACTTATATGTGGAATCTAATAAACAAAATAAATTGAAAAACAAAATAGAGAAAACAAAAAGAAACAGGCAAAAGACATAAACAGATAAGTCACTGAAAGGATATACAGGCAGCAAAGAAGCCCATTAAAAGATGTTCAGCTTCATTACCTATTATGAAAATGAAAGCTAAAACCACATGTGATATTACCACACACCTATCAGAAAAGGTAACTTCTTTGTTTGTTACAAGACCACATGCTCACAAGGATACAGAGAAACTGGATTCCTTATGCTTTGTTGGTGGGAATGTAAAATGGTGTAGTCTCTCTGGCAAAAATTTTGGCAGTTTTTCTACAAAACTAAACATGCAATTATATGTCCCAGCAATTGCACTCTTGAGCATTTATTCCACAGAAATATAAATTCATATTCACACACACACAATATTTTCCACCAGAAGCCTGAAAAAATATGTATATATATATTAGTAAAACCGTAATATGCAAATAGATTGAATGGTAGAACAACAGAACAACCAGTCGCTATGATGTGCGCTGACCACCAGGGGGTGCACGCAGAACATGGTGGGCATCAGCAACAGGTGGCAGAGTGTGGAACATAGCAGGTGTAGGCTGCGGCGGGATGGTGGAGCAGGTGAGCGGGGGTGCCAGTCGCTGTCATCGGGTGAGCCTCTGGTAGTTACTAAAAATTTTTTGCTCTCATGCCCCGCAGTCCCACCTGGCACTTGCACCTGTTCCCAGCACTGAAGCCGCTGCTCGCACCTGCTGCCAGCACCCGGTGCCAGCTCGATCGCTCGGTACTGTCAGCAGCTGCCGGCCCCGATCGCCCCTCAGGGCTTCTCTACCTCCCCCTGCCCCTGAGGAGTGATCAGGGCTGGCAGCCAACTCTAGCACCCACTGCCAACACTGGAGCCACTGCTCACACCTGCTGCCAGCACCCGGCACTGGACCCGATCGTTCTGTGCCGTCAGTAGGTATGAGTGGTGGCTGCTGTCCCTCATTGCTCCTGAGGACTTGTCCACTTCCCCCTGCTCCTGAGGGACGATCAGGGCAGCAGCCACCACAGGCACCTGCTTATGGTGCCAGCACTGTTTGCATCTGCTGCTGGAGCCAGCCCCAATGGCTCTGCACCGTCAGCGGGTGCGAGTGGGGCCAGCGTGTGGGAGTGTCAGTGGGAATGGGGCTGCCAGAAGACAGAGGACTGAGGACCGTGGTGGAAAGAGCTGGGCGGGGGCACAGAGGATTGGCCAAGACCCACCCCTGTGCTCACCGCAGCCTCACGACCCACAGTTCCTTTCAAGGTGCACCAATTCATGCACTGGGACTCTAGTATGTAATAATCTTCACAATTCTAAATACCTTTAAATAAGAATAAGTAAATAAGTGTATATATTTATTTATACTTATTTACATATCATGCCCCCACCCCCATTATATATATAATGGGTAACATGAGTATAAACTGGCTATATTATTTGTCACTTGAGCTATAGCAGCAAGAGAATCAGTGTTACCTGGGAATTTGCTTAAAATGAGAATCTGAAACCCTGCCCTGAATATGCATTTTAAAAGATCTTTAGGTATTTAGGTATTCATATTGATGGTATAATGTAAATACCTAAAGATCTGGGGATTGAAAGAGAATGAGATAGGATTAAAATAAAAGATAACGTGCTAAAAGGAATGGCAGGTTAAAAAGAAGATACACTTGAATGGTCAGTGCAGCAGTGGCGAGGATGAGTTGAAATGGTAGAGCCAACAGCTGTTTTGATTGTTCTTCCTCTTGTTCACCGTTGCATACCCAGTGATCCCGGGAGCATTCTAACACGTTCGTGCTGTGCTCCTCTACACTCAGGCAAAATAAAATTACACATACAGGAACCACAAGTCACGTGACC